ATCTGGTGGATTCGAACCTTGAGCCTCTGGGATTGTAGTTGCAGCTCCTTGCCACTAGGCCACCAGAGCTCCCCTGAGTTCCTTGTTTTTCAATGCAGCGTTGTATTCCATTGTGTGAATATACCACAGCTTCTTTATCCATTCATTTGTTGATGGGTACTTGGTTGTTTCCAGTTCTTTGCTATTGTGAACAAAGCTGTGATAACCATGGGTGTGCATATATCTGTTTGGGTGGCAGTTATGGTTTCTTTGGGGAGGAGCAATTTTCTTGTTAAAAAAGAATGCATTTTGTGTATGGGATTCTGTGGCCACAAGAACCATTGGGCGAGTCATTCTGGGCTCCTCCTCCTGTGTCATCCTCCCTGGCTTGCTCTGTCCTCTCTTGACTCGTGGATGCCTCTAGCCCTGACCTCATGGCCATTGGGCGACACTGTAGAGACCCTGTCTCTCATGAGGGCGTGCTCTCAAATTCAGGGGGGTGTGGATTTGGGAATCTCATCATAGGCTTGTGCATCCTGTGTAGGGGGCACTTAACATCATTGTATCTGTACTTGTCTTGCAGGTCCCCAGCCCCCCGAAGGCTGACGAGGAAGAGGATGGGGACACGGACTGAGACCATGGGAGTGTCAGGGGTCTCCCACCAGGCCGAAGAGCTGGGCCACCACGGGCTCTCTGGTTGTCGGTTAACACTGACACTGCTGCCTCAGGTCCCACACTCAGCACCGCCCGGCTCTCCTGGCTTGTCGGTGGCTGAGGGCGAGTGTGCACCTCTGAACAGAGAGGCCCTATTTTTGTAGAGAAATGATTTTCTTATTAAATGAGAATGAATTTTGTGTATGGATTCTCCATCTGTGTCTTAACACTGGCCTGGACCCCCTCGGGCATGCTAGGCATGGGTCTGGTCAGGACCCACTTGAATGTGCTGTGTGGGTCCAGTCAGGACCCCGCTTGGACGTTTACGTGTGTCAGACGAGGACCCACTTCACTGGGGAGTGCTGGGTGTGGAAAGTCGCGAGGTGGGAGCCTGTGTAGGCAGTGGCATTGGCCTGTAGGCATGAGATGTGATAGGTGACCCAGCACGTAGCATGTGGCTGCCCAGGGGAAGAATTACAGTGCTGTGACCGAGCAGGGGATCTGAGGCTGAGGCATGGGGCGAGTTGGGCAGGCAGCACGGCTCTGGTAGGCTGTCTGAGTGGCAGTCTGAGGGCCGTGGCTGCCTGTGGACAGTCCAGCACACTGCACATGGAGGCCCTCTTTACCGGTGAGAACAGGTTACCCAGGAGGTGGGCACAACCTTGTTAGCGTATTTTTGTACTTGGTGCTTCATGGTTGCAGGATGGCTGCCCCTGCTCCAGTACTTCTAGGTGGGAAGAGTGAAAAGATCAGTCCTTTGACTTGTCTGCTTTAGCTAGTTTTCCTGAAAATCCAAGCACCTCTCTCAGGGGAGCTCTGGTGGCCTAGTGGCAAGAAGCTGTGATGCAGTCCCGAAGGCGCGCTGTTTGAATCCACCAGATGCTTCATTGGAGGAAGAGAAATCTACTCTAGTGCCAGTTGGATCCAATTTGATGGTACATAATGGAGTGGGGGGCGGTGGAACAAAAAAAAAAACAACAAACCAAGCACCAATCAAAATCATCGCATGGTGAGAGGCATGTTTTAGGCCACGTCTTGTGCTAGTGGATGCTGGGACCACTTTTCTCTCAGTGGCTCACAAACCACCATTGTGTGAAAGAAGCTGGGAGTGAGGAGCAGTGCTGTGGGGACATGGAGTGATGGTTGTGGAACAGGTGCTTCCCAGTGACCCTTCAGCCCTGCGGGAACCAGATAGGGGTGGCATGGGCAGGCTTGAAGGCCAGTCCAGAGGTGCCGTGGGGACAGAGGTGGGGCAGGGACTGCAGTGGTTAAAAGTCCAGGGGGGAGAGTTGTGATTGTTTCCGATGGCACATAAACACAAACAACAACAAGGTAACATTAGCATAGGGAGCTCTGGGGGCCTAGTGGCAAGAAACAATGTTGCAACCCCAAAGGCACATGTTTGGGGCCACCAGCCACTCCATGGGAAAAGAATGGACAGTCGCCTCCTGTGTGATTAACTGCCTTTGAAAACCCACCAGAGGGTCAGCTATTGGTTGGTTCCAACTCTAAGGTACACAACACACACAACATTGACATACCATGAAATCTACTCTTTTAAAGAGTGCAATTTAGTGGCTTTCAGTATATTCCTAAAATTGTGTGCTCGTGACCGCTAATTGCAGAGTGCTTCATCGTTCTGAAATGAAATACTATGTATTTCCCTCATTTCACCATTTTTCTGGTAGCCACTAACTCTCATTTCTGTTTTGATGGCTTTGCCTGTTCTGGACCCATTTCACACGTGGGTTCATGGAATATGTGGTCTTTTGTGTCCCTCTTGTGGCTTTTTGGACTTAGTGTCATACTTTAAGATTTATCCATGTCATACAGCATGTATTAAAACTGTTCCCTTTCAGGACTGAGTCATACTCTGTAAGGAGCCCTCGTGGCACAGTGGTTACACATTTAGCTGCTGAGAGATAGTTGTTTTGAACACACCCAGCACCTGTGCTGGATAAAGGCCTGATGACCTGTTCCCAGGTAGGAAAGTGAAGAAAAGCCTCTGAAACAGTTCTGTCACATAGAGTCACCAAATAGAAGAAATTGGACAGCTCCCAACAACAACTTCATTGAGTGTATGGAGCACATTTACCCATTTATGAATTGATGGACATTTTGGTTGTTTCTGGTATTTGGTTATCATGAACACTGCAAAGACCATTTGTGTGTATATTTTTGTGTGCATATTTCTGTTTCCCAGAGTGGAACTCTGTGTGTAACTTTTCGATGAGACACCAGACTGTTTTTCTATTTCCCATTAGATGAGCATTCCAGTTTCTCCACATCTGTTCCAACACCTATTATTATGTCTTTTTTTGTTTTTTTTAGAAGCGCAAGTCAATTTTTAAAAAATTTTTAAAGGGAGCTCTGGTGGCCTAGTGGCAAGACGCTGCACTGCAATTCCAGAGGTGGTGGTGGTGGTGGTATGTGCCGTCGAGTCGCGACTCATAGTTCAAATCCACCAGATGCTCTGCTGGAGAAGGAGGGGCAATCTACTCCTGTGCCAGTCAGATCTGATTTGATGGTATGTGCAAAAATAATACAATAAAACGAAACAAAAAAAACCCAAACAAAAAAATTTTTAAATTTTATTATTTTGCGTGTGTGTACCGTCAAATTGGATGGGACTGGTACAGGAGATTGTCCCTCCTTCTCCAGCAGAGCATCTGGTGGATTCGAACCGCATACCTCTGGAATTGAAGTGCAGCTTCTTGCCACTAGGCTACTAGAGCTCCCTAGAGCAAGTAATTTTTAATAGAGTCAATTTTGCTTGTTTTGTTTAAAAAAAATTCAGGCTTGACTAGTTTATGGCACTTCGCTTTTTGTCATTTGTAGATATTGTGTGCTTGGTTTTTTGACTTTTTTAATGCAAATTAATTTTTTTTTCAGAAAGGTTTATTTGTGTGGGTATTTTTTTGTGTTTCCAGAGTTTGTAGCTTCATTCTATTCCATTCCATTGAGAGAATTCATAGATAGAGATTAGTGGAGAATTTCTACCTGATTTGTACCACGAAAATTGATGTGACCCCTTTAGTTTTGTCAATGAATACATGATCATTAGAAGTGAAACTTATCCAAACACCAGTTTTTCTGTTTGCAAATTCCCCTACTTTTCACTTTTGGGATCTCCTTATCCAACAGTTCACATTTATGACAATCGACTAAAAACAAATCTATTATCCCACTATTTTGTGCATTAATAATGTATATTTGTCAGTTATGAGTTCTGAGATGTCAGTAACGTTAGATGAGATGGTTAAAGTTATATGCCAGCTTTGCGGGACTCTAATTCTGAGTGACAAATTAAAATTTCATGTCACCTTTGTGGAGGAAGTCTATGGACATATTTTTCCAACATGTGTTCTCCCTTGTGTTTCTCTGTCACCTGTTGGTCATTCTCACACATTATCAAGCATTTTCACGATGCTGTTGTCACTCCATGTTCTTATCAGCTGTTATCCACTGAACGCCAGCTAATAGCAACCTCTTGTACCACAGTGAAACTCTGCCTGACCCTGTCCTCAGTCTCTGCTGTGCTCAAGCCCGTTGTTTTGTTGTAGTCACTGTGTCACTCCAACTCATTGAGGAGCTTCGGCTCTCTCCTTGACCCTCTGCTTTTCCAAGGATAGTCTTCCTCAGGGGAGTGCCTCACCTAGTCTTAGCATCTTCACTCCTAAGGAGCACCTTGGCTGCACTTTTTCCAAGACAGATTTGGCAGTGCATGTTGTTATGCCATCGAGTTGCTTGTGACTCATAGCGATCCTATGCACAAGAGCCCTAAACGCTGTTCTATCCTGTGCCAACCTAGCCATCTCAAACACACTCATTCCCATCACTCCACTCACAGAATCGATCCATCTCATCGAGGGTCTTCCTCTCCTTTGCCGCCCCTCCACTCTCCCAAACATGATGTCCCTCTCCAAGGACCAGCCCCTCCTTCCAACATGCCCATAGTATGTCAGACGAAGCTTCAGAATCCTTGACTCCAAGGAGCATTCCGGCTTTACCTTCTCCAAGACAAACCTATTTGTTCTCCTAGCAGTCCATGGTTTATTCAGCACTCTTCTCCAGCACCATAGCTCAAAGGCATCAATTTTCTTTCTATCATCCCTAGTCACTGTCCAACTCTCTGATGCATAGCACATAATTGCGAAGACTATGGCCTGGATCAGGCACACCTTAGTCTCCAGCCTGACGTCATTGCTCTTCAGTACTCTTGAGATGTCCCTCACAGCTGACTTGCATATATTTAATATTCTTTACCAGTGCCATACTTAAAAGGAAATTCTTTGGTCTCCTGCACTTACTGTCTACATTTCACATGTTTATGAGACAACTGAAAACATGACTTGGTTAAACCGTACCTTAGTTTTGAAAATTACATCCTTGATCTTTAGAATTACTGAGACAGGATAAGTTCAGTGTAAAATCTCTCTCTCAAAAAGAAAAAAAAATGAAGATAGACTGTGATTCATTCATGGCAAATACCTTTTTTTAGGAAACACAAATGGTGACTATACACATGGACCTCACATGATGGACTTCAAGACTGATTCTGTATGGGTGGAAAGAAGTACAACTCAAAGCGACCCTACGAACAATAGACTTGAACCTTGCCGTATTCTGTGTCACCTTCACCATCTCTGACAGGCTCAACCCCATTTTTACAGTCACCCTGTCAGTGCATCTTGTTGAGAGTCTTCCTCTCTTTCTCTGACCCCGCCACCTTTCCTGCGTGTCTTTTTTTGAAGGACTGGCCCTTTCTGACAACATTCTCGAATGTGAGATGAAGTTTTTGACCCTCCTTGCCTCTGAGGAGCACCCTTGCTGTATTTATTCCCAGACACACTTGTTCTGTTTGGCAGTCCATGGGATATTTAATACTCTTCTCCAACATCACAACTCAAACACATTGGTTCTTCTCCTGCCATCTAGCCTCCTTTAAAACCACAGGGCTCTTAATTCCTGTAACATTTG